CGCCCCTTCCCTACCTGAAGGTGGTCAGCGAAAAGCTGTACCCGCGCTCCGCCATCTTCGCCCGGGGAGCCGACGCACGCCCGGACGCACGCGCACTGCGGCCGGCGCCTGTCCATTTCCCCGCCCCTCGCTTTCCCTTCTCTCTCTCTGATTGGAGGAGATTTCGAGGCATTCCGGGAATAGGGGGCGTTCCGGGAGCCGGGTTTGGCCGCCTCTGTGCGTGTGTGTGCGCGCATGCTCGGACCGGCGGGGAAGATGGCGTCTGCCGTGCTGGTGCTGGTGGTTGCGGCACGCCCGGCAGCCCAGGAACTGCTTCGAAACTGGTGGCAGCTATTGCGACGGCAGCTTCAGCGGAACCGGCCAGGCATTCCCGGTCCTCCGTGGGGTAGGTGAAGGAGGTCTCCGTGCGCAGGGGGCCGCGCGAGGGCACTCAGGCATCGCCTGCTTGGGCCGCGACCTTCCCTGACGCAGCGGCGGCCCGCGGCCTCTTCCACACGCACGAACGGTTCTCTGCCCGTCCCATCCGTGCGCGGAACGTAACCGACGCGCCTTGGCTGTGTCAGAGGTCAACACAGCCAAGCATAGTTAAAGGCTGAAACGGGTTTTTTTCCAGTGATTACTGGCAGGTGGAGAAAGAGGTGAACTTGGTTCCGATGTGTGCAGAGGTGATGTGAGCTATCAAAGGGAGGATGAGGGAGGGGAGAGTGCGGGGCTCCGTAGAGTCGGAAAAACTCAGGCAGCTGGAGTACCCGGATGGCCAGTGTGAGCGCGGCCAGGGCAGCCGCGTCTGTGGGCAGTAGTCTGAGTTGGGTGCTGGCCTCCCCAGAGAGCAGACAGAGGCCCGGGCCTTCCCCATGATTGCATTTCAGAGGAATGGTCTCTTTATAGCAATAGCCTCTTTGACGCTTCTGAGTTGCTAGGGATACACCTTTAGAGTTGTAAGTCCTTGTTAGTAAATGCGCTAAGAAAGAGATCAGGGCCCTATCATCAGATGTGTGCTGGTTAGAATAGTACGTTTTCCTGGTAGCGTTGAGCTTTCTCAGGCAGGACGTTAAAGAGTGCTGAGGTCATCCTGGGGACATGCCTTATGCTAGAGTTTGATCAAGTTTCTCAGTGCAGGGGTTTGGACACTTGGCATCAGAGCCCCCTCTCTAGATCCTCCTTATCTTTCCTTTGCGGTCCTCCCACCCTCTGATGCACAGCAAATGCAGTTTGCCCTCTTCTGTGGTGTTTGAGCGCTGTGCGGTTGAATTCTGATTCCCATGTTTCCTTTAGTAACTAATTTTAGCAGTACTTTTAGATATGTTGAAAAGGAATATGAGTTGTTAAGTGTTAGCTTTGTGTACATTTAAGAGTTCTTATAAGAAGAGATGCAAGTCTGAGGAATAGCAAGAAAAAGGTAAAGGAATCTTTTATAAGCAGTTTAGAAAAGCAAAAGTAGAACGTTGATGGTTGCATAAAATCATACACAGAAGTGGTGAGCTAGCTCTTTTCCTTAGAGAACAGACAGTAATCAAGAGTAAATATTTAAAAGAACTAAGTGACTTAAGGCCTATCAGGTTATATGGTAAAGGAGCTAACTCAGTTTGAATATAACAAAAAAAGGCCAATAGACAATTTTCTTTTTTTTTTTTTGTCTTTTGTCTTTTTTCCGTGTCCAGCAACGGATCGCAACCCT